TTCTGGCACACCCTCACACGCTTCGTGGCCCCATAGGGAGCTCCACCGAAGGCCCCAGTGGCTGCGCCCGCATGCGGTTCCACCCCCCATTCTGGCACACCCCTCACACGTTTCGTGGCCCCATGGGGAGCTCCACCGAAGGCCCCAGTGGCTGCGCCCGCATGCGGTTCCACCTCCCATTCTGGCACACCCCTCACACGTTTCGTGGCCCCATAGGGAGCTCCACCGAAGGCCCCAGTGGCTGCGCCCGCATGCGGTTCCACCCCCCATTCTGGCATACCCCTCACACGTTTCGTGGCCCCATAAGGAGCTCCACCGAACGCTCCAGTGGCTGCGCTCGCATGCGGTTCCACCCCCCATTTCGGCACACCCCTCACACGCTTCGTGGGTGGCTCCATGGGGAGCTCCACCGAACGCCCCAGTGGCTGCGCTCGCATGTGGTTTCCCCCCCCATTTTGGCACACCTCTCACACGGTTCGTGGCCCCCTAGAGAGCTCCACCGACGGCCCCAGTGGTTGCGCTCGCATGCAGTTCCACCCCCTTTTTTCGGCACGCCCTTCACACGTCTCGTGGCCCCATAGGGAGCTCCACCGAAGGCCGCAGTGGCTGCGCTCGCATGCGGTTCCACCCCCCATTTCGGTACACCCCTCACACGCTTCGTGGCTCCATGGGAGCTCCACCGAAGGCCCTAGTGGCTGCGCTGGCATGCGTTCCATTCCCACCCCCCATTCGGGCACTCCCTCACACGCTTCGTGGCCCCATAGGAGCTCCACCGAAGGCCCCAGTGCTGCCTCGCATGCGGTTCCACCCCCCATTCTGGCCATCACACCCCTCACACGTTTCGTGGGCCCCATAGGGAGCTCCACGGCGAACCGTCCAGTGGCTTGCGCTCGCATGCGGGTCCTACCCCACCATTTCGGCACAAAATACCCCTCACCACGCTTCCGTGGGTGGCTACAATGGGACTCCACCGAAGTTCCAGTGGCTTGCTGCGCTCGCATGTGGTTCCCCCCCCCATTTCGGCACACCCCTCACACGGTTCGTGGCCCCATAGAGAGATCCACCGAAGGCCCCAGTGGCTGCGCTCGCATGCGGTTCCACCCCCATTTTCCGGCACGCCCTTCACACGTCTCGTGGACCCATAGGGAGCTCCACCGAAGGCCCCAGTTGCTGCGCTCGCATGCGGTTCACCGCCTCCCAGTTCTGGCACACCCCTCACACGTTCGTGGTCTATGGGATTCCACCGAAGGCCCCAGTGGCTGCGCTGGCATGCGGTTCCACACTCCATTCTGGCACACCCCTCGCACGCTTCGTGGCCCCATAGGGGGCTCCACCAAAGGTCCCAGTGGCACTGCCGCTTGCGTCCGCCACCACCCAGCACAGCCCTTGTTCCCTGCGCTTCACCCACCCAGAACAGCGCTTCGTAGCCCTATAGGGAGCTCCACCGAAGGTCCCAGCGGCACCGCCCGCATGCGTCCGCCACCACCCTGCACAGCCCTTGCTCCCTGCCTGCGTTTCACCCACCCGTGGCCCCATAGGGAGCTCCACGGAAGGTCCCAGTGGCACCGCTCGCGTGCGTCCGCCACCACGCAGCACAGCCCTTGCTGACCGCTTCTCACCCACCCAGTACAGCGTTTCGTGGCCCCATAGGGAGCTCCACCGAAGGTCCCAGTGGCACCGCCCGCATGCGTCCGCCACCACCCAGCACAATTGCGGCATTCACAACTGCATATGGTTGGGTCCTTCGCCAGGCTAATTTTCCCGGTCTCGCCTGTGTCTGGGCGCCGACGCAGAGTCGGCAGTCATCAGGAGGGGAGAACAACACACAGGCACAATCAATCGTCGATCCCCTAGGAAAGGATGGGAAAACATGGGAATTGGGCGGGAAGACAAAAACCCGAAAAGATGGGAAATTATGGAGAACCATTTTACTTGTGTGTATTTTTGTGTGTCCTTGGGCCCCTTCGAATCAGGGGGCAGGAAGCCCTGTCCAGACCAAGAAGGAGGGCCCTCCCCATGGTTGGTAACTGATTTTCCCCTCGAGGAGAGTCCCTGACTAAGCTCATATCGGCTCCTCCTTGGTCTGGTTAGGGTTTCCCTGCCTAGAGGCGAACCGAGAAGGACCCATTTGGGGGAAAGCGGCAGGGCCTTCTCTGCTTTCCTTAGACCCCGGGAACGTGTGGAGTTACCCCGGGAGCCCCGAGATGGTTTCAAGATCTTCCACAACCTTCCGTGACGCTCCCAAGATGGTCCAAGTGGCCCCCGAGATTGCCTTTCAATGCCTCCAAGAGGTTCCCCATATGCCCCATCGAACCCCCAGGAAGTCCAAAGCACCTTCCACGAAGCCCTTCCCCTCCTGCTGTCACATCGGTATGCTCTCGTCGTACCTCAGTGCGGGATCCAACCACAATCATAGTAGGATTTAACACGAGCCCACTCGGATTCGAACGAGAGCACAAGTGGATTGCAGCACGAAGCCAGTATCTGATAACTATTTCAATCGGATTCCGATCGGATTCTGCTAGGGTTCAAAGGGGGTCCCAGGTTTCAGTAGGACTCCACCATGTGACTCCCCCACACGAGTCCTCCAGAGGAGTTCCCCGTCGGATTCCCGCAGGGGACCTCCTCCATATGACCCGAAAACCAAGCTTTATCGTATGACCCCCATTAAGGTATGCTTCATTATCTAGGGCTCCCACGTCGGAGCGTCCTAGTATAAATTCCCCCCATTGGCCTCCCGCGCCAGGGAAACTCCCAGAGGCCCCCACCGTCGGATTCTCTTCAGGGAACCTCCCCCATAGGACCCCCCAGAACTGAGTCTTTTAATCGAACCCCCGTTAAAGTTTGCTTAGCCAGCTAGGGCTCCCCTATCGGACATCCCTCGTAGAACTCCCCTCCTATGGGACCTGCCCTAGGGTCCCCTCATAACACTCCCCAGAGGACTTACTTCCCCATAGGACTCCTGCCTGGGCCTCCCTCGCCAAGGAATCTTCCAAATGACTCCCCCGTCAGATTCCACGCATGGGTCTCCCGTGCAAAACCCCTCCCCCCGTCACTGGGACTTCCCCCACAGGACTTTCCCAGAAGACCCCCGCATAAAACCGAATCTTCCTCACGGGAGTTCCCTGTCAGTTTCGCCCCAATTGGTTCGCCTATAGCACTCCCCCATACGGCTCTTGCATCAGACTGCTGCATATAAGTATAGGGCGCCCCTCATTGCTTCCTGTGGGGCACCTGCTGACAGGGCCCCATCAGGGTCTCAGGATCTCCCAGGGCATCGGGGTCTCAGGATGTTTGGGGCTGCTTGCCCAGGGGCCCCAGGATCGCATTGCCTCCTACTGTCGCAGGGTCTCCAAGGGTCCAGGGGTCTCAGGATGTCTTGGGCTGTGGGCTCAGGAGATCGAGGGTCTCAGAGCCTCCTCAGGTTTCAGGGCTTCCCAGGGCCTCAAGGCTTCCCGGGCCTTTGTGGCCCCCCAGGGAGTCCGTGCGTCAGGCTCCAGGCGTTGCGCCTCAAGCCTTTTCGGCGTCAGAGCATCTGCTCCTGCCGTTGCGCCCCGGCAGGTCTCAGGCTCGAGGTTCTCAGCGCCAGGCTTTCAGGCTCCCAGGCTCTCAGGCTCTCACGCTCGCCCATGCAGCGCCAGCACATTGTCAGCGCGTTCGTGCTCGTCCTGGCGCTGGGCAGCGGGGCGCTGAGCGCAGAGACTGCGTTGCTCAGCATGACCAGCACGCTGCTCAGCGTGTGGTCGTCGCCCAGGGGTTCCGGAGCCCAGACCAGGTATCAGAGATCGCCTGGACTCGTTCAGGGAACAGCTCGCGCCTCCCGTACTGTTAGAGGCGGCTTAGGAGCTTGGAATTGAGTCCGCTCGAGGCTGCGAGGGTGTTCGCGGCCCACTCCCAGGAGTGGGACTTATCAGTCGAGCGGCACTGCGTCGCCATTGGCATCGTATTTTCAATGTGTGAGTTCTTCGCGCTAACATTGTTCAGCACGCACGCAGCTCGGGTACCGCAGTCTGGCTCAACAGGTTGGACAGGTTCGTCGCTGCGCTTCTGCCCACAGATGCCTCCAACAAGTGCGTCGTGATTTTCCGTCGGGGGGAACGGGCAGCACGCGCGCGACAAGAGGGGATGTTTCCGAGAAGACAATGCAAGTGCCTCCAACAAGAGGCGTCGTGATGTCCCGTCGGACTTTGGCACGCGCTTGCGACCTTGCGAGCCTTTGCAGTTTCGCCGGGCAGAGCCGGGAGCCAGGCCGGCCCGTGAGCACCCGCTTCCGTTGCGGATGCACGCGGGGCAGGCTCGGGCTTCCGCGGCCTTCCCTGCGGTCGGGGTGCGAGTTCGGCCGCGCGCGCGCCGAGCCTCGTGCGCGACAGGCGATTGCGAGTTCCGCGCGTCAAACGCAGCGCGTGCGTGCTCAGCGCCGGGGTGGGGGGGTCATCGGCTCATTCCTACGCGGGGGCACCCCAGGGGCAACGAAGGTCACCCTGAAGTCTGTTAGTTTTGCTCCTCCCCAGCTATCCTGCCCTCCTCCGCCGGCAGGTCCGTTATCCGCGTCTACTCTTCATGCTTGGTTCTCCCTACTGCGATCCCGCGCGAACGATTTAGCCTTGCCCCCTTCATGATGCTCCGCCTCGCCATCCTTCCCCTTTCGCATTTTCGCTGGACTGTAGGAGTCGAGGTTGATGGGACTCGGGTTTGTCGCCGCTGCCTGAACGGCCCAGTTTACACTATATGTGCGCAGCGGGAACTCGCCTATCATCTCAGGCTGGGCACCGTCAGTTTCCTGACATTCTGTGCCGATCACATCCCATAGTTTCCAAATCAATGGTGCACCCCCCTCGCCATTATCCCCGTGTTTGCCCCTTCCTTCTACTCCCTTTCCTCCCTTTCCTCCTCCTCCTCCCTTTGGCTCAAGTAACCATTCTGGCTCAAGTAACCATTCTGGGATCTGTCCATTCTTTCTGTTCATTCCTTGTTGGCCAGTGCAGGGTTTGATCATATCGATGTCGGGTACAGGCTCCAAGCGGAGTCAGGCGGCCACCGACCTAACTCCAGACAGGTCCAAAAAAAAGTACCAAGTTATCGGGGACAGTTCGGATGCAGATTTGGTGATCGAGGAGGCGGCGGAGGTATCCAACACGGATGGGGCTCCACCGTATTTCAAGAACTTCGAGGAACGCCTGGACAGGAAGTTCGAGAGGATCGAAAACCAGTTCAGCCAAATGAGGAAAATGATCAAGGATGTGAAGAAGATGGCGAAGGAGGTGGCGGAGGAGACGAAGGAGAAGTGCGACGACATTGAAAACGATTTGACAAACCTACGGGAAGATTTTGAAGGTTTGTATGTAACGAAAGAGGAGATGCAGCATACTATGGAGATTATCGTGGCAGCGGAGGTCAGGGAGGTTTTGGAGAAAATGCGGGAGGAGGGCACGGATTTTGACAACAAGAAGGGTAAGGACGAGAAACAGGATGAGGAGGATGGGAGCGACGAGGACGAAAACAGGGAGCTTCAGGTCATCGTCGGGGGGTTCAAGGAGGAGACAGAGGAGGACGAGATTGTACAGGCGATCGAAGGTTTCCTGTCTGATGGGGCCCGCCGGCACAAGGTACGCAAAGTGTTCACCTTCAGCAATCCAGCTCGTGTGGGCGTGATTGAATTCGACACGGTTACCTCCAAGACCGGCTTCTACAATAATATCCGCAACGTAAGCAAGAAGGTGTCCGACGACACGACGGTGTGGTTCACGAACAACCGTACATACAAACAACGTGTTCGGAACAAAACGTTGGGACTCATCAAGCATAGATAGAGCTTGCTGGATAGTTTTCGGAATGCCAGGTTTCTCATCCAGCCTCGTCTCGACGTCCGTGCTCCTGGAATGGGCTGCCTTTGATGTCCCGCCAGCCTCCCTTTCAGGATTCACGCTCGTAATATTCTGGCTCAAGATCGCCTGGCGGCGATCGGAACGGGCGCCACGGCGAGCCACTCCCAGGTTGCAGCGTGCGCGCGATCAGCCCTCCTCGCTGGCTCGGGGGCGCTGCTCTGGAGCCAGGTAGCCTGGCACCTGGCGAGCTGGGCTGCTGGGCGCTTCGGGCCTGAGGCGGCTCGGGTGCTGACTGTCGCGGGGGCGCGGGGCGTCGCCGCGCTGGGCGAGGCCGCCCACACAGCCTCCTGCTGGGGCTGGCGCGCACTGCAGGCGGCAGCGACCTTCGCGAGCTCTCTGCTTGCTCTCGCTTGGGAGCATCGCAGCTGGCTGGCACGGGGAGCCCGAGCCGCCTGGTCGCGTGGCCGCGCGGCGCTGGGGGCCGCCTGGGCTCTGGGCGCACAGTCCGTCGGAGGGCTCCGTGGCTGGAGGGCGGCCCGTCGGGCCGACCGCGCACGCGCTCGCGAGCTCGCAGCCGCTTCAACCGCTCTCGAGTACGCCTTGGTGGAGATGGCGCTTGCAGGTGGCGTAGCCGTCGGGGCGGCGGACCCGTGCTGGGTGCTGCTATCCCGCGGCGGCGAGTGGGACGAGGTCCTGATCTTCGGGCAGGTGCGTGGCGCGGACTACAGCCTGGGCTTGACGACGGACGCGACGGGGGTCGCGTTCGTCTGGGTGCTGGTGCGCCTGCTGCCGGGGCATTTTCGCGCTGTGGTCGTGCCTGGAGGGGGAGGTCTCCGCATGCCGCCGTTCGGCGTTCCTGGTGCCCAGGTCAACTGGGCGTGCGAGCCGCCGCACGCCGCGGTCCAGTGGGACCCGAGCGTGGCCGAGCTGGCCGCGCTGCGCTTGGAGGCCCAGGGCGTGGACGCGGCCCTGCAGACCTTCGTGCTGGCGCCGGGGGTGATCTTCGACGCGGGCTCGCAGGCGGCGACGATCCCCGCCTTCATGCCCGTGGGGGGCCCCCTTCCACCTGCAGGGGGTGGGGCCGTCGTGCCAGCAGCAGCGGGAGCCGCGGGAGCCGCAGCGGCGCCCCCGCCCGCGGGCGCGGTTGCGCTACCCGCCGCGGGCGTGGCGGGGCCCGCGGCTGCCGCGGGTCTGGGCTTCGGCGCCGTGGGAGCGCCCGACGGGGCGGCAGCCGCCCCCGCAGTGGGCATCGACCTGGCGTCGCTGCTCCAGGAGGTCCGCGCGATCCAGGGCCAGCTGCAGGATGGGGGCGGCCTGAACAGCAAGCGAGAGAAGAAAGACAAGAAGTCTGCCACCAAGAAGAAGAAGAAGAAAAAGAAGAAGAAGAGGTCCGACTCCAGCGGCTCGACAAGCTCGAGCGACAGCAGCTCCTCCAGCAGCAGCGACTACCTGCGGTGGCGCGGGCCCAAGGCCAAGAGCCGTCGGGTCGACCCCGCCCAGGAGCGCAAGCTGGAGACCGAGAAGTTCAAGGCCAAGGGCGACCTCCTGGCGTTCGCGGCAAAGCACCCAGGAGCACTCTCGGGGTATTTCCTGGCGATGGTGCACCGCAAGCTGAGCCACGGGCGCTTGACGGAGACCAAGCAGCTGAGGCGCGCGTCGGTGACGACGTGGGCGCAGGCACACTCGGGCCTGACCGAGCTGCGGGACCAGCGCGAGGTGCAGACGTTGGCGCTCGTCATGGACCTGATCAACGCGCAGGACCTGGCGACCGCGATGGACGTGCTGGCGCAGCGCATCATCGCGATCCAGCGGGCGAAGGCCAAGGGCGGCTCCTGGGAGAAGGCCGAGGCCGCGGAGCTGCTGGCTGGCACGGGGGGCGGGGTCGCTGCAGGCGGCCTCTTGAAGCTCACCATGTGACGAGGTGGCGGAGGGCGCGGCAGAGGTGGCTGCGCCGCGGAGGCCAGGAGTGCACGTTGGCTTCCGTCTTGGTCGGTCTGGGCGACTGGCTGAGCTTCGCTGGAGGGCCGCTGGGGCTGCCACTACGCCGTGGGCACCTCGTTCGGCCGCGTGTCGTGGAGTTCGGGAAGGCCTCGCCAGGCATCTTCCCAGTCCCTTTGCTGCGGCGTGGTGACGCCGAGCTCGCAAAGTTCGGGCGGCAGTACCGGGACGCAATTTTGGTTTGGGCGAACATGTGCATCGTCGCGCTCAACGATCTGTACGACGGAGACGGCGACTACACCATGTTGCCGACGCAAGCCCAGCGTCGTGTGCAAAGGCGCATGCTGATGGGCGTCTCCCGCTCCCTCGCGGCCGAGTTGGCTTGGCCAGAGGCGGCGACAATTCAAGAGGTCCTGCGCCACTCCGACGGCTACGAGCCGTCCAGGTGCGTCGCGGAGCCCCTCGGCGAGCGTGGCGGAGTGCCAGACCGCGCCGCCGTCGTCGACCTGGCTGGGCTGCTGGACGAGCACTTTCCTGGGCTTGCTCATCAGGCGCGCTGCCCTCGATCACTGCTCCTTAGCGTGGATCGGCGGCCCGCCAGGCTCAAGAGGCCTCACACGCTGGTGGGGCCCACTTACCCCAGTCTCGTGGCGCGCAACGTGGCGGCGGGCCTGCAGGGGTACGGCTCCAAGAAGAGGGTGCGCAAGCATCGTGGGGTTGCTCTCGTGGCTGGAGCTTTCGGCGTGAAGAAGTCAGACACGGAGCAGCGGGTGATCTCGGACCTGCCAGTGAACGAGCTGCTCAACCCTGATGCCCTCCCTCGGCCGACCTTCGCGTACCCGCCGCGGCTCCGTGTGGTGAAGACGCTGCCAGGCATGCGGGTCAAGCTGTGGAAGCGGGACCTGCGCCACTACTTTCACCAGCTGGCGATCGGCAAAGCCTGGCGGAAGTACATGGCCCATCCACCCGTGCCTGACCCGCGCGGGGGGAAGGGGAAGGTGTTCCCGTTCCACCACGCGACGCCGATGGGCTTCGCGCCGTCGGCGGGCTGGGCACAGGCGGCTTCCGACACCGCTTTCCTGAAGGCAGGGCTACCCCAGGAGCGCAGGGTGACGTTTGACCAGCCCTGCCCCACCGAGCTGCCGCTCTGGGGGTCCATCATTGACGACCTCTGGGCGTTGGACGCGCGCTCTGCAGGCGACCGCGCGCGGAGCCAGGCCGACTTCTGGATGACCAAGGCCGAGCGCGCCTGGGACCGCTTGGGAGTTCCTGTGCATCACGGCAAGTCCGTGGACGGCGGCAGCGGCGAGTTCCAGGGCACCGAGGTCCACCCCACGGAGCACTGGCTGGGTACCACTCGCCGCCGCCGCGTGGACCTCTTCGCAGCCACCCTCGCTCTTCTGGGCCAGCAGCTGGTCTACCGCAAGGACGTGGAGCGCTTGGTCGGGAAGCACGGTTTCTGCCAGAGCTATCGGCCTTGCTTGCGGTCTAACTTTTCTCAGGTCTATTCCTGGCTGGAGCGCCTACCCTTGCAGGGGCGCAAGCCCGTGGCGTGGTGCCCGTCGGCGTGGCATGAGGTGCTGATGTCGGCTATCCTGCTGCCGTTCGCCGAGCAGGACCTGGATGCGGACTGGTGCCCGCGCGTGGAGTGCACGGACGCCGCGCCAGGAGGGCATGGCCGCGCCTGGGCGACGCTGCCGCTGGAGTCGGTGCAGCACATCGCCAGGTGGGCTGACCATCGGGCGCCCTACACCATGCTCGGCGACGGCTTCGGGGTTGACGTGGACGTCGAGGGGCGCTGCAGCCTGGCCCGTGTTACGCTGCCGCCAGTGGGCCACTGGTTCAAGGTGGGCAGGCCAGGCGGCTATCAGCACATCACGCTTGAGGAGGCGCACGCGAAGCTCTGGGGCATGGAGGCCCGTCTGCATCGGCCCTCCGAGTTGGGGAAACGAGTACTGCATGCTGGAGACAACGCCCCGTGCGAGGGCGCCTTCATCAAGGGACGCAGTGCCAGCCGCAGGCTCAACCGGCGCTGCCGCCGTGGGGCGGCTATCGAGCTCGCGGGCGGGTTCTCGCACTTCCACTTCTGGATCTCGACTGGCAAGAACCCCGCCGACGAGCCCAGCAGCTGGCACGGGTCGCGCCAGACGCGTGGCGGCCTGCGCAAGCCGCCTCAGCCGCTGCCCCGCCAGGAGGTGATCCCGCTGGCGCCAGCAGGATGGGCATCCCGCGAGAAGCTCTTCCTGCACTTCTGCTCTGGGCCCAGGCGCGAGGGCGACCTGTGCGAGATGGTCGAGCGGGAGGCGCGCGGGGCTGGCCTGGTGGTGAAGGCGCTGGCCTACGACCCCATGGTCGACCCTGCCCACGACTTGACGTCGCCTGTGCTGGTGCGCGAGCTGAGGGGGCTGTGCAGCAGCGGCGACGTGATGGGCTCCTTCGCGGGGCCGCCTTGCTCGACCGTCAGTCGCGCCAGGCATCACGCCCTGGGCGGCCGCCGCGGCCCGCGCCCTCTGCGCTCTCGGGACCAGCCGCTCTTGCCCTTGCCTGAACTGTCAGAGTCCGAGCGCCAGGCTTGTGCGCTGGGAACGCATCTCTTCCTCCTCTGCCTCGAGCTCTTCACCAGAGTCCATATCAGAGGGGGCTGGGCAGGACAGGAGCATCCTCAGGATCCAGGTCGTCATCCTTTCCCGTCCTTCTGGGTTGCTCAGGAGGTGGTGGAGTGGATCTCTGAGTTCGGTTTGTACGTGGTCTCGTTCGATCAGTGTCGGCATGGATCGTTATCTCAGAAGCCCACGTCCGTTGTCACCAATGACGCCAGGGCCGCCGCGGTCCTGGGACTTCGCTGCAATCATCGACACCGTCACAAGGGCGTGTACGGCCTGGCCCCGAAGGGAGGTTTCGTCACCGCTCAGTTGGCGCGCTACCCTCCGCAGCTGTGTCAGGCTCTGGCTCGCTTGGCGGTCAACGCGCTC